TGGCCTTCTTTTTCCTCCAACCACCCCAAAAAAAAAAAAATTCCCTGGCCTTCTATCAGTCCAAAAAATAAAATTTTGTTTTACGTATCAAAACTTCTAGGAAAACCAAATTTAAACTAAAAAAAGGCGATTATAGTCTGTCCCAAAAAAAAAAAAAAAAAGAGTTGATTGTGGGTTTTATAAAAGGAAGAGAGAAACAGATTCTAGACAGCGGGCTCGTTAATTCAGGTCCTAATGCGAAAATCTACTAGAAAATTATTTGCGGAAGAGCATGGTTTGCTCCTTTCCATGTGTTATGTGTGGTATCCTTTCTGCAATTAATTTCAAAAGAAAAAAAAAAAAGGATATCAAAATATGGTGTAGGTGATTAGGTGGAACGGAATTGCAAAATCGTACTACAAATTTTGGCTCACAAAGCTGACAAAAGCTGAACCTCAATATATAATATATAATAGCAACATTTGTGAGAAACAGATATACTGCATATGCCAGGAAGGCTGGCCGGTGGGCAGTGGCCACAGAAACCTCTGGTTTTTGAGAAGTGGCCTTTGAAAAAAACTCTGTATAACTAAGCAACATCCACTTTAGCCATGCAAACAAAATACAAGCAAAGATGTAAATAAAACCAGAACAAGCCGGGCGTCCAGCTGCAGACCCTTCCTGATGATGATGATGATGATCGGAATCAACCTTGGACTCGTGCTTGACTTTGAGCCACAGCTTCTTTGTCCTCTGAGCAAAAGTCTCTTTCTTGCTGAACTTATAACTCCTCAGATACCTTTGCCTTCCAACGTTAATGTTGTTGTTAGGGGTGGCCATGGGAGATGAACAAGAGGGGCTGCCTAAGTAGCCTTTGTTCATGCATATTGCTCTCAAGAATTCTCTGTCAGCTTCTGCCCACTGCTGAAGCTTTGCCGGGCTTAGTTTGACAGGAGATTGGGCATCGATGCACCCAGCAGCAATACAACCGCCTGCGTTCATCATCATCATCTTGTCGGTCTCCTGCTTCTTCTAATTAAGCTCACTTTATTCAGCTCAGCAGATTGACTCTTTCTTAATTTTTCCTCCTCTAGTTTATACTTGTATACGTATAAAACGTCAGATATCGGGCAACTTCCTTATTCGGTGTTCTTACTTTCCTACAAGTAACTGACGGTACTGTGAACTTGGGTTGCCCAATTTCGAGTTTCCTAAATAATCTGGCTGGTCAAAAACTAGGCACGGTACTAGCCATTATATGCGTGCCTGACAATTGAGTGCGAATATTTTAAGAAACTTTCCGAGCGAGTTTTTCTTAACTTAATGAAAGATTCTGCCACTTTCTACCAAAAGCGATTAGACTACACAAAACACACAGGTCACGAATCAATTATACTTTTCTGGTAAACAGTTAGTCATGATTTACAAAAAAAAAAAAAAAAAAAAAAAAAAAAAAAAAAAATTTACTTACAAATAAAAAAAAAAAAAAAGTAAAAAAGATTTAAACTTGCAAATATTTTGGACCCTCGTAGACTGTGGAGAATCTTTGCCTCATGATAAAAGATGGTTTTGCCCTGACGAGAGTCTACGTTGAGTTCTCTCATGTCTATGCATGGCTTCATTCCTCGTGCAGTGTCAGCGTCAGAGTCAGAGTCAGAGTCGTGCCAATTTTTAACAATATCTCTTCTAGCTAGTCTGTTTGCAGACTATGAACTTAGTAGTAATTCCTGCATTTTCATACCTTCCTCAAATTCAATTTGTACCGGACCAACTCCCACCTCCAATTTTTGCATAAGAATTCGATGGATCTGCCAAGCTGTATTATGTAAATTGAGCATTGCCTAAGTGCCAAGTTGTTTGGATGATTTTGAAAGCTATGGAATTTGATTACCTTCTCCGATATGATGCTTATTTAGCTTAGCTCAGCTTAGGAGATCGGTGCATGTATAACTTGGCTTCTGAAGCATCCTAAAAGTTTGATGCTCTGAGGAATATTAGACCAGTTGGAGTTGTGGTGGAGGATTAAACTGATAAAAGCTATGATTCTGGGACTGAATGTAAATCCCACTTTGAATGGTGCGGTGCTTAGGAGCATTTGTTTCGGCTTGTCTAGCTCCAACCCATCTGCGGACATCTTGTATCGTAAACGATTTCTGCTTCGCTCCTCGGACGTAGTTATTAAATGGGCTAAATTTGGGCTGAAGCTCAAGTTTTAAAGCCCTTACCAGGTCAGATCTATCTGGCCCAAAAAGCTTTACCATCTAATTGGCCCACTAGAAAAAGGTCGTCCCTTCAATAATTCTCATGGCAAGTGAAAAATACTTGACATTTCACTCGAGAAAATTTTCTTTAGCCCCGTTTAAAAAAAAAAAAAAAAACCTTGTCAGCTTGTGTTTGATGGGAAATTATTACTGTATTAATTTCTGAGATGTTATGTATTCGTGATAAAAAGTTATTTGAAAAATGCGCTTTGTCATGCAAGTAAAGTATTATTTGGAATAAATTTGCTATCCAAACACACTTAAGATGTTTTTAAAGTACAAATTGATTAATTGGATCATGTTAAGCGTTATGCTGATTAATGTCAAATGCTAGTCCTTGTCTAATAATAAGAATACTGACTTCTTTTTTTATTTTGTTCCTTAAGGGCATTGGATAAACAGCAATAAATAAAAAAATAAAAAGGAAGTGAGGTGATTAAAATTTTTTAATGTTAATCAATTATCCCTGAATTTAGGATACTTTAACCATTTGACGCTGAACATTTCAATTTTTTTTTTGGTGTGAAGTTAAATAGATCCCACCTCTTATTCCAAGAGTTTTCTAATAATAATAAGGATTAATCTTTCCTACACTGACAGTGTATACACTATCAGCGTTGGATGATTGACAACTATGCAAAATTTGAATTTGAAATTCAACTTTTGCACACATGTCATGAATCTAACGATGATAGTGTATACACCGTCAGTATAGGAAAGATTTACTCTAATAATAAAAGGCCAGCCGTCGCCATATTTTATCCTTTCAACTTCTTCCCTTCCCATCTCCCCACTTTAATCTTATCTTAAAGGTGTTAATACAAGAAGATATAGCAACAAACGCAGCCGCCCCATGCTTGCTTAGTCGCATTTGAAAGCCGCTCAAGTGGACCAAACTTCACATCCGTTAGAACATTACAGTAGCAAGTAATCCTATTATGAAACAGTGGCCACCAAGGAGGGACTTATACCACCGGGCCAATGGCTCAGAGGGCCAATGTCTAAGCCCCTCATTGGGCTGTTGGTGAGGGTTCAAATCTCACCGGCAGCGAAAAAAAATCTAAGAGTTGTGCTATAGTACTCCCTTGGTCTAGTTGGGTCTGTATACTCACTAGTCCCTACAACAGCCTCCTTAGGCTCCTCCTCCTCCTAGATTATGATAGAGTAGGTTATACAAATGTATCGTTGCTGACAAAAAAAAAAAAAGTACTCCTGTTATGAAAGATTCTAAAAGCAGGAAGGGTGGAGCCTTCATCATAATTCTTCATAATTCATAACACAAACTACCTAATGAATTGACTTAAAAAAGAGTAAAGAGGGGCAGTCAACATCATCATCCTTCACTTCCTTCTGCATCCTTAAATTACCGATAGTTGCTATTGACGGCAAGGTTAATGAAATGTCCTAATTCCTACATACAGTTCCAATCTTGCTTCAGTTCAAAGCATCATGAAATACTTACTAGTGTTTGCTAATAATTCTTGAGCATCAAATCTACCTTCCCTTTTGACTGGTGATATAAATTCATCAAAACGACGTTGCTAGCTAGTGACCGTTCTGAGATTTTGAATGTGACATGGGAAACTTTTCATGCTCATGTTTGTATTCTCGCATATACAAATCCAATTCCAATATAAAGAAGAGATGGAAGCAAGAAAATAGAACAAAACCTTTTTGTTAGCTACTAGTCGTACTAGTACTGTTGTCATGGTAGGAAGGTCCAACCGAGTGCACTCGAATCTTTTTATAGGAATCACGTATTGTATTGTATTGTTTATAAAAATCACGTATTGCATTGTAACAATGGATGAAATGTAAGATTCAAACCTCCAATCCCATCAAGCGATAAGGACTTGGTGGTGGCCAAGGTTGTTGGTTTCGTACTATTTGATTGAATATAATTTGTGTTTAGGTGTCGGTGTTAATTGTGCAGGGGGCATGGCGGGATGCAGCGCAGCCGCCATGGTCTTAACCGATGGTTCCAACCATGCACTTTAATCTAATCTGATGGAGGTTTGGTTAAAATGCTCAAATTAAACTGGTGTTAGAAAGTGTTTTTTTTTTTTTTTTTGGGTTGTTGTTGTTTTTTCCCCTTTTATTCGCTCTTTATTTTTTTCTTAGACATCGCCGCGCCGCTTTGGTACCAAAATTTCTACCCAGAAGAAGTGGAACTTCATCCCGAAACCTGAATTTTGGATTCGTTTGGAAACTGGAAGAATAAATAAACAAGTTAAAAAAGACACTTTAAAGGATTTTTTTTTTCAAAAGAAAAAAGAAAAATAAAACAAAAGGAAAAGATTTTCCAGGGCAGCATCCACCGTGACCTTTTTCAGAAGCCATAGACAAATTCGGCCAACATCAATCCACATGTCACACTTCCACGGAAGGCCACGAACTCGCATTGTTCTGCCACACATTTTAAAGTGCTCTCCATATCTTCAGTTTTGGACTCAACTCTGCTCCGAAAGCAACCTTGAAATTTAGGAGACTCGGCGGGAGGGAGGAGGATGCGGTGGTTGAGAAACAACAAATTATATACTGTAATAAAATTCGGGAGTCCTTGCTTATTCCACCCTCTCACTCTCCCTTCACGGTCTACGCACCATTGTGGACTGGAGAAAAAGCCAAGAGATAAAACACCGAACGAAGACCCCAAAATGATCCTGGCTTTCACTGATGACGCCTCCTATCCCTTTTGTCAATGGGAAAAGGTTTCACTGTTATGGCTTTTTGACATGTAGTGGACTAATGGTAGGAAAAAATTGATGGGGGCTGAAAAGGTCCCACGTGCTGAATAAAGCTCCTGAGTATGAAAGCCTTGCAATTGAAATTCCCACTTGGGCTTTTATCTCCCCCTTTTTTTTTTTCCCAGTTTGATAGTATACCTCCGTCTTTCTTCCATCTTCAACAAAGGTATTGTCAGTCGAATAATTTTCACATCATCACTTCACTTCATCGAGAAAAGGGGAAAAGTTTTTTACTTCTTGCTTGTGTTTGCGTAGAATTCAAGTGCCGTACGCCTTTTGTTTATTCATTTTTTCTGTTAACTTTTTTTTTTTTTTAATTGCTTCACTATTTCCTTTTTTAACTGGAACGTTCTTCTGACTCTTTCAAGAGAAATATGATTGCAATATTCATGTAACATATTTTTTAAATATATTTTCATTAATAGTTGCTTGAGGGGTGTTTTAAATTTGCAGAATTGATAAGCGGGGAGATGGAAGAATATCTCTTACGTCATCTCTATTGATAGTTGTACTTTGTGGTGACTATGCAATCAACTGAGTTGCGCTCTTGGTACGATCTGGGTTTCATCAGATTCCGAGGGATTCTGCTGATTCTTCAACTGTTTGAGGTGAGGTTCAGTACGTTTGATGTTCTCTTCTCTTTACTTCTTCTATTGTCTTGGTGGTCAATTCACTCTTTTTTTCGTCTTTCCTTTTTTCTCTTTTCTTCTGGGGTCCGAGTATCTTTGAGTTCCACTCATCCAACTTTAGAGGAAGCCACCCAACTTTCAAGAATCAATCTCTTTTTCTCCTTATGGAATTGTTGATTGCGATCAATTTGCTTTCTTTTTCCCGTGTTTTATTGTGCTGGAAAGTTCTGTTTGTCTGACATGTAATGGAGATCATTTTGCCTTGTCCTTTCAATTCTGTTTCTCCTCACATTTTGATGCATACATCTTCATGGCACGGGGTTATTGGGACGGGACATTCATGTAGATGAACTCAGGTTGCTAATTTAATTTTACAATTTGCATTATTCGAACATTCATTAATTCCGTTTCTCCTCTGAGCTGCTTTAGCCATTGATCAATTAATTGTATTGAAATCATCTTGATCAGCTATTGCTTATTTCAAGGACTTCATCTTTGTAGCATACTATCTTCTTACCATCTCTTTTTTGTAATTATCAAATCCAATTGACCTGCAACGGATGGGAATGAAAATAAGTTTTTTTGAAGATCACCAACTGATGATAGTTTTGTTTCTGTGATATGATATAGAATTATACCCCTCTTTAGAGTTTATGGAAGTTAAATTCTCATGTTGTTGTATTCTAGTTTATTTTTCTTGTAAGTTTAAATAATTTAATCTGCAGGACATAATTGCAGACCTGCCGGTGGATAATAGATTGCATCATGGGTTGGCTAACCAAGATTTTCAAGGGTTCCAGCCACAAACTCTGGGAAGGGCAATATCATGGAAAATATGAAGATGATGCAATTTGGGAAGGACCTTCTACTTCAGTGGTAATTGATACTTGACTTAACTTTCTTATATTGTCAATGTTGGGGCCGTTGTTTTTTTTTTTTTGGGGGGGGGGGTGTTTGGTGGGGCTGTGACAGGTTCTTCTTTATTGCGTCATAGTTTTTCTCTTGGAACTTCTTCCCTGCTAACTCAGTGTTTTGTGATTTGAACCCAGGATGTCTGGTCAGATTTTGACAATGAAGAAATTGATCATGCAATAGCGCTTTCTCTTGCAGACGAGGATCAGAGAGCTGTTGCAGAAGAGGAACAAAAAGCTAGTGACGAAGAAGATCAGAGAGCTGTTGCAGAAGAAGATCATCAAGAAGCTCCGGAAGAAAAAGATCACAAAGGGAAGAAAGTGATTGGTGAGTTACATGGCCATAAAACATGAGATGGACCATTTTAAGCCAAATATAAGGTTGAAAATTCTGGTAATTAGAAATAATTTGTTCCCTGGTATTCTAGAACCCAAAGATAGAATGGTGGAAGCTTAGAGCCAAAGCAATGCATATTGCTTCCTGCTTCTTTATTGCTGCAGTCTTGGAAGGAATTTTTCATAATATGTTAAATAATTCTTGTTACTGTTGCCTCTTTCTTTGTGCACAAGATTGAATATGGATATTGTTCCTTTACTCCCTATAGATTTATTTGCAGTACTAAGTCGGCAATGCTGCACAATACAGCCTCTGAACAAATTCTTACCAACAGTGTATGAATTAATTATTTTGGGATTTTTAGTGTGCCTTAGAGTTAACTCCTGATTGCTTCTTCAGTTCAGAAGTTTTTCATTGAATTGAAGCAGTATCAGTTTATCTTTCAGCTCCATCATGGACTAACTTCATTTGTTTTTTTAGTTTGGATTTAGTTGCTGAATTGGAGCTAGAATCCTTCTACAATTTTGCTGTTAATTTTGTCGTTTAAGCATTCTTTAATCTTTAGATATTATCTTTCTCCTGGATATTTTTCACAATACAGAGGATGAGCCTAATTTGGAGGAAGATGAGCAACTCGCAAAGGCTCTTCAAGAAAGTTTGAATGTGGAGTCTCCACCATCCCCACCTCAATATGATTATGGAAGTTTTTTCCCACCCTATCAGTTCTTCTATCCATCCGGGTACAGGTAATCAGCGCCTGTATCTCCTATGGTGGCTTAACTATTATAGACAGCTGAATATCAATAAGTGTCAAGTACTTTTTGTCATTATTGTTAGACCAGTGTGTCATGATCTCAGGAAGCAAGTATAGATGGTTATTTTGTCCTGCTTAAAGTAGTCTGTGTGGAAACTACTTTCAAAAAGGATTCTTTTTTCCCCTTAAGGGTCTGACTTTGTAATTCATGCTAAACCTGACATTTAGTGAATGTAATCGTATTTTAGGATCTGTGCTGGTTGTAAGGCTGAAATTGGTCATGGACGATTTTTGAGTTGCATGGGAGCTACTTGGCATCCAGAATGCTTTCGGTGTCATGCTTGTCAGCTACCAATATCTGATTATGAGGTCAGAACCTTACTAAAGCTGTCCAAAGTTTTACTTAACCTGTTTCTAAAGTAGTTTTTCTGTCTTGATTAAGTCTTTCCTTCAAGGTCAGTTTGTTGCTTGCAGAATCACTTCAATTACATGTCTTGGTGCTTATTATGAAGGTATTTAACTGATTTTGTCTCTGAAAATTTTATTACAGTTTTCAATGTCTGAGAATCGGCCATACCACAAATCCTGTTACAAGGAGCTGCATCACCCTAAATGTGATGTCTGCAAGAATTTTGTAAGTCCATTTTCTAAATTAATATCTGATATGTCATAACAACTTGTTTTCGTCCATAACATTTCTGTAATTTCTTGGTTCTGCTACAACTTGTCAATTGCTGTTTCGTACTTTGAAAGGAATGGTGATTGAATTCTCAAGGATGATATCCCAAAGTTATATTAGATTGTGGCTACCACTTCGGTGTGGCTACAATATTTACTTCATCGAATCATGCTGACCATATGGTACCACTTTTTTCTTTTTCTTTTTTTCCCCCTCCCCATCATGTGTTTAGATCCCAACAAATGCAGCTGGTCTCATCGAGTATAGGGCACATCCTTTCTGGCTACAAAAGTACTGCCCATCTCATGAGCATGATGGAACTCCTCGTTGTTGCAGCTGTGAGAGAATGGAGGTTAGTTAACAGAACATAAACTGTTTGAACATAGGAAATTGCAAGATTCAAAATGAAAAAACCAGAAAATGACAAAAATGAACTCTATCAAGAGGCGCCTAAATAAAATTTGAACTTTCTTTTAGTAGCTATTTTGCTGATGTGAGACATTTTCACTGATGCAGCCAGTGGATGCCAGATACCTTATCCTTGATGATGGTAGAAAGTTGTGTCTGGAGTGTTTAGACTCTGCAATAATGGACACTAATGAATGCCAACCTCTTTACCTTGAAATACAAGATTTTTATGAAGGTCTAAATATGAAAGTAGAGCAGCAAGTTCCTTTGCTCTTGGTTGAGAGACAAGCACTTAATGAAGCCATGGAAGGAGAAAAGCATGTTAGTTTTATGCTCTGAAATCTTTTTACCTGTTCCAGATTGTGCCTCTTTCCATTGAAAACCTGCTCTGTTCCATTTCAAGTTTTTTCTATTAAGCTGTTGAAAAACTATTTTAATTTCTCTTGTACCTATTCTGCACCCAGGGTCATCATCACATGCCTGAGACCAGAGGACTTTGCCTGTCAGAAGAACAAACCGTTAGCACTGTAGGAGTCTTTCCCTGACATTTAATTTTAATGAACTCAACTGCATGCATGTAATTGTTGTGCTTATCTTCTGTAATTATTCACTCGCAAATACAGATTTTAAGGCGGCCAAGAATTGGTGGTTATCGAATAATAGACATGTTCACTGAGCCGTATAGGCTAATCCGCCGATGTGAAGTGACAGCAATCCTCATTTTGTATGGTCTCCCCAGGTAAGAACGGTTTCTCCTCTACCTTGTGGCTATAGTTGATTGTTTCTTCATGATGTACACTATAATATTACTGTAGGTTGTTGACTGGGTCCATCTTGGCTCATGAGATGATGCATGCGTGGCTAAGGCTTAAAGGTGCTTGTTTACCCCAACTGAGATAGTTTCCTTACTTTTCCTCTCTCTTACTCTGCAATATGCTTGACTGCATTCAATATGGTTGGATGCTTTTCAGGTTACTCCAATCTAAGTCCGGAGGTTGAAGAAGGGATTTGCCAGGTTTTAGCTCATATGTGGCTGGACTCTGAAATCATAGCTGGTTCTGGTAGTAATGTTGCTTCTACTTCTTCATCCTCATCATCTGCCTCCTCCTCGTCCTCTTCAAACTCTTCAAAAAAGGGCAAACGCTCTCAGTTTGAGAAGAAACTTGGCGAGTTCTTCAAACATCAGATCGAGTCAGATACCTCAGTAGCTTATGGAGATGGATTCAGAGAAGGTAACAAGGCAGTTCTCAAGTATGGGCTGAGGAGAACCCTTGATCACATCCGGCTTACTGGATGCTTTCCGTAATAAATGGCTCGGACATCTCAATCTTGTCACTTAATCATCAATACTTTTTCTGGTCGTTTGTATACCAGTTCTGCAGCTCTGAAGCGCCTACAAACCAAACATATCAGACAACAAATGCTCTAAAATGCTGCTATCTTGTGAATCATGTAATTGATACTCTTTCAACATTGGAGTCCTTGTAGTACATTACTATTAGCCAAACATGTGTTGATAAATAATAGAAAGACACATACTCGTAAAATTAAATGAATATACACGGTCATTTTTTATGTGCAAATTTTCCTCCTTTTCATTTTGACTTGCTTCAATAAGCTGCTTCCTTCTTCTTTTTTTTTTTTTTTTTTACTTTATTTTGTTGTTGAGAATTATATGCCTCTGTGTGTTTTTAGTTTATGAACGCTTCCTTTTCTACGTTTTCACAAAAGTTTTTGGGTTATAAAAAGTTGTATACGTAAAGATATTCATGATAAGCATCATTGACGAAAAGGGGAAAAAAAGCACGTCTGTGTCAAATTAACGAAACTCGCTTGGATATCAAATTTTTTTCAAATACTATTTCGCTTCCATTGTAAGCACGTTTTTCAATTCATTTTTTTATATTTTCAATCACATTTTTATCTCATATACATCATATTACAAAATGTACTTCAGTAATTATTTTAAATAAAATATTCTATCCAAACACATCCGTCTGTTTTCTTCTGTCCTTCGAAACAAGGACAAATCCATCAGTTTTTGCATCACTAGTGCAGTGACAACTTAAAAGCCATTTTAAGCCAGCTTTGGAGACGCTTTTTTTTTTTTTTTAAACCTTGCTTAGCAAATTTTGGCCCCTAGACGTACAATCATGCATGGGGCGCGTTCTCAATTGTTCTCATTTGACAGAATCGAATCAAGAACAAAAGAGGTATGCGGTATGCCTAATAAAACTTCAAAAATCAGCTTTAGTGAAGCAGATAGTTTGTGGAGCGTGGGCAGAACTAGAAGCAGTTTTCAAGGTCAACGTCCAACTGGTGAGCGGCAATAACATATGTTTCTGAATTGTAGTCATCGGACCAAGTGGGATTGGTGTGGAAAGGCATGCCTTTACTTTTCGAAGACAATGGATAAGGTTATCTTACATTTCGGTCAAAATGAAAAACTAAGGCCTTGTTTGGATTGCAGGTTTCCGTCGAAAAATTACGTCGTTTTTCGTGATCGCATTTCTCTATTACCTTTTTTCCTCACATACATCAAATTGCTACAGTAATTTTTCCATGAAAAATCACAGAAAATGCAATCCAAACACAACCTAAGAACTCCTTTTTTCCTTTAGTTCCGATTTAAGAGTTAGACTAGGTGATCTCTTCTTTCTCACGCAAAGCCTCTCTCGTGATCATCATCATAAAAACCGGCCAGACCCGGGGACCTGGGCATCATACCGGGCTGGGTTTTTAGTTTGACCGGATATGCCCATATCTTTAGTTTGACCGGATAAGAAATTGATCCGGTCAAATTTGGATAAACTCACTTGGCCCAGTGATTCAATCGAAAATTCGTTTGATTTTTCAATTGATCCTATTTACCTTTTTTTAAAAATAATTGTGAGTTTTTATTTTTGAAACAAAATGTATATAAGCTTTTGATAAGATTTGTACATTAAATCTTCATTTAAATATGTATAAAATTTTACCACTTGCTTAGTTTTTATTTGATAACTAAATATTTTTAAATAAATTTGTTTATTTTTTATTATACAATTCATTCTTTTAAATTGACAAAATTTTATTGGTTAGAAAAATACTTTATTTTTAAGCAAAAAATAAAATAATGAAAAAATGCTATATTTTTTAAAACAAGGGATATAAATTTTGTTTTATACTTGACTATATTATTTATTTATTTAAAAGTACAATAAAATGAAATTAAATCTTCTATTAATATCTATATATTTATTAGATGTCTTTCTAAGTATAATAATTAGTATCTAAAAGTATTTTATTATATATTTTATGTATATTAAAATTATTATTTTATATTTATAAATATTAAATTAATACTCACTGGTTCAACTAGTGACCCATTGACTCAATTCCTCTAGCAGTTCCTTACTGGGTCGGATTTAATAACTATGCTCCTCATCTTGATAGCACGGGAAAAGACACATTTTGTGATGAGGCCATGCAAATGCAAGGAAGGCTCTTGCCAGGGATTCAATTAACAAAATACTAACAAAACCACCAAAAACAGCAACATAAGTCATTATTTTGAAAATTTCTTTTCCTCATGACATGTGTCCATCCGATGACGCCAGAAAATTTTCAACCGAAATTGAGGCGTAACTCGGATTTGAAGAGGAAAACAAATGAACTACTTTGAGCATTCTGGTACAGGGGTACAAATTATACTAGAGAAGCATAGCGCAGGTAAATAATCGGCCCCTGCTGTACTCTTTTGGGAGATTGAGGTTTCATACCGTCCAGGCCCTCCTGTCCTAGGGAATCCACGTCCACTCTGACTTTGTTATGTGGACTGAGACAACCTGCACAAAAAGAAGATGAGCCAACCAGGCAACCCCACGAACGCATAGGCCCTATTTTTGGACAAAAGGGTTCGCCATGCAATGGGTAGTTACCACCATTAACTATTTCCCAATTTCAGACATTATCGAATCTTTTTGAAGTATGCAATGTGAGTTTATCATGGTCAGTCTATTAATAATTCGGTTGTCTTTTTCTGTTTTGCTGAGCTTCTCATATCTCAAGGTGAACTCAAGAGGGCAAGGGGCCAAGTCCAAGCCCTGAAAGGAGATTCCCATGTTAATTGTGAAGGAGAATACTGGGGACTCCACTTAGTTATGGTGCAAGACTGAAGAGGTGAGGACAGGCTTAAAAGCCTCAATTGCAAATTGGGTGTGTCAGAATCTCCTGCTCATTAAGGCAACTGCACGTATGCATTTGACTGAGTAACAAATGCGAAGTCTTTTTCTTTCTTTTTCTAAATATATATACGTGGAGACCTGGTCTGGTTTTTGGCTGCTCAAGGGGCGTTGTTGCTTTGCATTTGATATTTTCTGCGCCTCTCACATGAACGGGTTCCTCAGAGCACAGAGCAGTGGAGTGTGGGTTCCTGTCATCATCCGGTAGGGCGACAGAGTGACAGGTCATTCCTATGAGTTCGAGTCTTTTAAAATCCAAATGTAGTTGGTTTGGACAATTGAGTCTGATGTCAGACTCAAGAAGAACCCAGGTTAAGGAATATTCTGTTGTCCTCTTCTGAATAACTGCTGAGCGCATCTGGACAAATACCAAATTACTGATGAATGATTCAATGGAGGCTAAACCTATAGGACAATTATGCGCATGCCCGGCCGTGTTCAAGAAACAGTCCCACTATGCTACCCTGCACTGGTAAAGATATAATCATGTTGAACTAATTCTTAGAAATACACATCACTATACAAATCTGTTTTTTTTCTTTGGGCGCTCTCTCTAGAAGTCTAGATTACCGCAAGGATGCAGCTGTCTAACTCCTTGAACTGACTCTTTCTGACTTTGTCACATAGTTTTTTCTGTATAAAATTTGATGCGAAGGACGAGTTCTTGCCGTCTTGACTTGTGTCATCGTATTAGATTAGCATATATTATGCTTCTCAAAGACATTATTGGGATATTAACCATTACAGAAAATTGCCAATTAGTGATGAAAATGTCCTTGTCAAGTAAATAATCTACTTTTGGCTAGGCATTCTTTGTACCACTATTTAACTGTTCCATAAGTTTCAGTCACCAGACATACACATCACTATACCAGGCGGATCAAACGGGAGAATCACCAGCAGAATAATAGACAAACCAAAGATCTTATTTAATTCGGCAACATTGAATCCCCTGGTCTGATTGCAGTAAACTACACACAATTTCCAGCTTTTCTTTCGACTTTTACATCACAATGACAACGGTAGCACATCTTATCTGACTTAGCCACCCACAGTACCTCCAAACTCTTCAGCAATGGCTGCCTTTCTTCTCTCCATGCAAGCATTCTTTTTCCAATTTCTCGTCTTGTCAGCCTCAAATGTATCTGCTCAGTCGACTACTACTGCAGATACAGACTTCTCATGTTCTGCAAACTCAACTCAAATGTGCAACACATTTGTCACGTACCGCGCTTGGTCTCCCGATTATCTTGATTTGGGGCGTGTTTCTGATCTCTTTGGTACAAGCCGTTTGAACATTGCAAAAGCCAGCCAGCTGGTGTCCGAAAATGCTCAACTTGTACCTAAGCAACTCTTGCTGATACCAATCAAGTGTAGTTGCAATGGATCTTACTTCTTCTCGAATGTTAGCTACCAGATCAAGAGAGATGATAGCTTTTATTCAGTTTCAACCCATGCTTTCCAAAACCTGACAAAGTATCAGTATGCCGAAGAGATGAACCCCACTGTGAATCCTGTGAACTTGACAATTGGTGCAGAACTGGTCTTCCCTTTGCTCTGTAAGTGCCCAGCACAGTCTGATTTACAGAAAGGATTCCAATATCTTATTACCTATGTATGGCAACCAGGTGATGAAGTACTTCCTATGAGTGCCATGTTTAACACATCACCAATAGCTATTGATGCGGAAAACAATCATCGCAACTTTTCTGCTGCAGCATGTCTTCCGGTTCTAATACCGGTGCAAAAGCCACTTGTATTGCAAACTTTCCCCCCTCCTCCTTCAACTAGAAAATCCAAACATAAGAGGACTCTTATTGTTGTTTTAACTATTTCCGTGGCTGTTTTACTGATATTATTAGCTTCTTTGTCACGCATCCATATTTTATTGAAGAGAAGGAAAGCAATGGGATGTAATTCCTCCTCCGTGGAAACTTCTGACCTTCTCAGGACAAGGAGAGCTTCCTTTGAGTCAAAGACAAATCAGGATAAGATCCTTCCTGGAGTTTCTGGCTATCTAGGCAAGCTGATAGTTTATGAAATGGAAGTAATTATGGAAGCAACATTGGAACTCAGCGAACAGTACAGGATTGGAGGATCTGTATACCAGGCCAAGATACATGATCAGATATTTGCTGTAAAAAAGACCAAAGATGCCACAGAGGAACTGAATATATTACAGAAAGTAAGCCATGCAAATTTGCTCAAGTTAATGGGTATATCAGCAGACCATCAGAGGACCTTCTTCCTAGTTTTCGAATATGCAGAGAATGGGTCGCTGGATCGGTGGTTGTTCCACAAGTCATCACCATCTTCTGGGTCCATTTCAGTCCTGAATTGGAGTCAAAGAGTAAATATTGCTTTAGATGTTGCCAATGGCCTGCAATACATGCACGAGCATACTCAACCAAGTATGGTTCATCGGGATATAAGAGCCAGTAACATACTTCTTGATTCAAAATTTAAGGCCAAGATTGGAAATTTTTCCTTGGCCAGACCTGCTACGAGTCCTACAGTGCTGAAGGTTGATGTATTTGCTTTTGGGGTTGTTCTTTTGGAATTAATTTCGGGAAGGAAATCAATGGAAACAAAAAACAATGGTGAAATAGTGATGTTGTGGAAAGAAATAAACGGAATATTGGAAGTTGAAGAGGAGAAAGAGGAGAGATTAAGGAGATGGATTGATCCACACTTGGAGACCTTTTATCCCATAGATGGAGCTCTGAGCTTGGCAAGCCTGGCAAGAGCCTGCACATCAGACAAGTCTTTTGAGCGACCAAAAATGGCAGAAGTCGTCTTCCACCTGTGTGTTCTCTCTCAATCGTCTTCTGGGATTCATGAGAGGTCTTGGACTTTCGGAGAAGCAGATGAAGCGATTCAGTTTGTCACTCCAATTATAGCTCGTTGATTTTGCAAAGTGATGTGAACAAAAGTGTAAATAGATACAATCACACTGAGTATTAACTCTTAAATGAGAAATATTTAGAAGCTCTTGTATATGTTTCAACAAGAAGGACTAGCTTATCGTAATTCTTTAGCAGGGGAAAAAGTTGTACATAATATTTTGATGACACACTTTCTTTTCGTAGAAAAAGGATTCTGTAATCCTTTATTTCTTGTTTGCTTACAGGCATCCAAATGCATGTACAACCTGTATGACATTGCTTCAGAAGGCATGCATGACATTGCTTCAGAAGGTCAAAGTCCACTTCTGATATCACTTTTAACTGCCCTATACTATAGAAAAGGAGTATTCTGTTTTTTGGACATCTAACTGAATTTTCATTAATCTAGAAATTACTTCAGCCATGGTTAGTCTTTCTGACGGCTCTCTAGCCAAGCATGCTACACTTAATTTTATCAGGCGAAGAGCAAGTTCTGAATGATCAATGATGTAACCAATAGGATGCTTTACTTGCAGGCAAGAATCTATAAGGTCTCCAATAGCATATTCTGCATCTGTGGCAGCCATGACTGAGATTACTGCTTCAGAAAGCAGAACATCTTGGCCACCTTCTACAAATATGGCATCTCTTCCAGTGATCAACTCGAGAAGAACAACCCCGAAGGCATAAACATCTATTTTAGGACCTACCTTTTGATCTTCCAAGTATTCCGGTGCCATATAACCTTTTTTTCCCGGAAAAAATGTGGTAGACGATGAATTGCTAAATTCACCTCCTTCAGATGACTTAGCAAAGCTAAAATTTGCAATTTTGGCCCTCAGATCACCATTAAGTAAAATATTGCCACTATTTATGTCCTTGTGCACATATGCTGGAGCAGTGAAATTGTGAAGATAGTCGAGCCCGTTAGCAATATCTAGAGCAATACGAATTCTAGTATTCCAACTTTGAATCTCAGGGAAACCCTTTTCCTTGAGCCATTGCTTCACGGATCCATTTTCCATGAACTCATAAGCAAGGTGGTAAACACCATTACGCTCGCACACACCATAGAGGCTAATCAAGTTGAAGTGGTTTATCTTTTGAAGAATTTTGACTTCCCGCCTGACATCTTTGCTCATCCTTTTAATGGCCACCAATTTCCCACGAAGAACACCACGATAGTACCCCCACACCTAGATCATGCTTGTCCTCAAGTATGAGAACAAAAAAATCAAATAATCAAATTCAAATAATGGCTATTGCTCAAATCTTCTATTGCTAAGATACAATTAAAACATATGTCAAGTACTAGTGATTAAATTCCAAGAAATATCTCTCCATTTGTCTTTCAAGATCAAGGACTCTTTCAATTTATGACTAACTAATTTAAGAATACAGAATATTCAACTAGCATCCATAAGCAAATGGTTCAACTATTAAGCAAAATCTCAACATTAAAATTCAGGGATCAGCGGGTTAACAATTTATTCAAACACTTCCATATTTTTCACTATTAGCACATATATTTTTTTCTAGAATATCCCCACACATGAATGATGATTTTTTTTTTTTTTTAGGGGGAACGCTTAGTTTTTAGCCATTCAAGCATTTTGACGCGAACTCCGACATTGGCCATATGAAGGAGCCCGGTTACTCAGCCATCATCGCTTAAAAACCACATACTCATAGCTATCGTCGCTTTTTGACGCGAAAGTCGACATTTGTGGTGAAGCCTCCCGGTTACTAGGCAACGATACTAGCGGAGTATAGCCTAATACTATTCATAAATAAGCACCAAAAATAAAATTAAATACCACACAAACCCGCTTCATTTCTTAAACATGGAGAACTAAGATTAATAGCTGAGCCAATTTGCACAAAAAATGCTAGACAAATATTTACAATACTTAGAAAAGTTAACCAAAAAGTGCAAAAGTCACAAAATCTCAAATATTCACCCAAGAGATACCCTTAAAATCAACCATGTCATACTCAACACCTTAAAGTGTAAAGTCTTAGCAATAGAAAAATTTGAAACATCTAACCATCGTTTATCAGGAATAATCACAAATAAGCACAAAGATAGGCAAAAATTGGACAAAATTCGACAAAGTCAAACAAAAAATTCCAACAAAAATGCCTACACTTGCATTTTTTTCAATAAAAAGCCAATATACTACCCCCCCACACCTAAATCTTGCATTGCCCTCAATGTAAGCAAAGAAAGAGCAAAACAGAGATATTGGGGCAACGAAACTTCCCTTAAAACGGAGGAGGGCAGAACTGAATTACGGCTGGAGAGGGAAAGGCGGGCGGAAACCCACGTGATGGGGATACTGTGCTAAATTCTGGGCCATCCCACCCATTTGACGCTCCATCCGATCCATTCGAGTGTCCATTTGCTCTTGCCCTTATTTTTTTGGTTTAGTCATTGGAAATCAGAGGGCAAGGTGGAGGCAAGGAAATGGGATTCCAAAGAGGTCAACAAACAGCCAACAAAGCAAATGACAACTAAATACAGCTTCCAATCACAGACAAGTGCAGAAACGGCCGATGAACACACCCCCAAGAATTAATTAAACAGACAACTAGAGTAAAAACTTTCCCCAAATATCACTGGTTGGGCACAACGTTAACCAAATAATCAACAATCAATCCACAGATATGCCACAGCACCCAAACAAGCACAAATTTTCTGTCCTCAACTAGCAAATCAAAAATCTGGCCTCAGCTAAGAAATTAAAATCTGGCATCAGCTAATAAAGAACTAGTAATCTGGCCTCAGCTACTTATTGACGGAAAAATAAAGAAAGAAATCACCGGAGGTTTGGAGTAGGCAGTGGATGACAGTGAAGAGAGCAGGGGTGGGCATTGGAGTGAAGGAAGGCGTAGCGCGTGCGCCGCACGCGCTTGGGCAGGCGCCTTGGGGTCGCTCGCCGCTGGGTCTCCCGCGCCTGGGCTTGACTGCGCGGAGACGAAAAGCACACTGTTGCGCCCCTGGTTGAGCGCGCGCCTGGGCTGCTGGTCGCTGGTGCTCTGGCCGCCTGCTGCGTGCGGCGGGCTTGAAGATTGCGCGCAACGGGTGGAGCTGCGCGCTCGGTCTGCTGTGCTCCACAAGCTGGGCTGCTGGAGAGCTGGAGTTGAGCTTGGGCGCAGAGGAGGGAGAGGACGTGCGAGAGTTGGTGGCGGAGCTTGCACGCGAAATGGCGTGGAGCGCAGGCGGCGGACCTGAGCCGAGATGCTGCGGCTGACAGCAGGAAAAAATAGGAGAAAAAGAAAGAAAAGGAAGAAGAAAGAAGGAGAAAAAAAGACAGAAAGAAAGAAAGAGTAGGGCTGCGGGTCCTTTGAAATTTTTTTTTTTTTTTTTTTTTTTGAACTCAAGGAACCCCTGGCTTAGGCGTGGGCACGCCTAACTGCTATATAGTCCGCAGAACCTGAACGAAATTTTCTTTCACTTAGGCGTGACCACCTGGCGTGGGCACGTCTAACTGCTATAGAGTCCGCAGAACCTGCACGAAATTTCTTCCCCTCAGGCGTGACCACCTGGCGTGGGCACGCTTAACTGCCAATTTCCTGCCACAAAACCAACAAATCACTAAATGCAACTAACACTTAACAAAAACTCCAAAAACATAAGAAAACTAAAATAAAGGGCTTGGGTTGCCTCCCAAGCAGCGCCTTTCTTTAATGTCTTCGGCTAGACATTGTCCTGTTTATTCATGGAGGATAAAATCGTGTAGCTCGCTTCAGTGCTTCATCTTCTATGTAATCCCGATAGCCCTCGTAAATGAAGTAATTCTTGACCACCCGAGCTACGGTCTTCCATGGATTAGTAGATGGCGCCAAACAAACAAGTGATGATCTTAAATCTTCACCCACTCCTCCATCACGAGCACTTATTGGTTCGAAATATTTTGCCATCATGACTCTTAACTTATTCCTGGCATGAAATTCAAAATCGTCTGGTATAATAAAATCAATCTCACTAACAGGAATTAAAGAATGAGAGTCAGGAAAATATTGATCAAGGAGTGGAGGAGATGTCACCGCATTTGGAGATTGTTCACTGGATTCATTCACTTGAACCATTTGATGTTGGGGTCTTAATTCTTGCTCTTCATCTTTCTTTTCAACTGCATCTTTAGATTCTTCTTCTTGAGACTCTTGCAGTACCATGTCATTTGTCAGAATAATTGCACTCTCATCTTCCTCATGGTCGATAATAGCCGGTGAGGGCAATTCTTCATAAACTGGAGAAATCAATTTGCTCGTTTCAAATGCCCATTCACGCCTTGCTTCTTTCATCTCTTCACCCATCCTTTGTGTCTCCTGCTGAATTCGAGATACATTAGCAGCTAGTAATTCTATCATCTCTTCAAGAGACATACCTGACACGGATGATGGTTCTTGAGACTCATACTGCTGAAAATTCATTGGCTGCTGAAAATTCATTGGCCCTGTTGTATAATCATAACTGGAGTTATCCCACCATCCTTGATCATACCCGTTTGGATTAGAGTTATACCACGATTGAGACCAGGGTGAAAAATCTCCATAATTATTGAGTGGGACACTCAGATTATCTTGATATTCGGGGCACATACTGGTTGAATGATCCCTGGAAAAACAAATTTTACAGGTTGCAGCAGCCATTCTTTCTCTAATAGAGTTTACTGCCTCTTTATATGCAAACTTAGCAAAAAAACTAGTCTCATCGCCTTCCCCGGAAACAAAATCCAGTCTATCACCAAAATATGGAGTGTTAGAAGCCATAAACTATATATAAAAAAAAATAAGAGAAAAATAAATAAAAAAAATAAAAACAAGATGAACTCAAAAAGAAACAAATTAATCTGACACCAGTCCCCGGCAACGGCGCCAAAAATTGACAGGTGCCGAACCTGTGCAATAATAATAAATAAAACCTAATTACCACATAAAGCAGTCAATAATCAATTCGAGTACTGGAGCAGGGACTCTAGGTGTGCAATGGGTTACTTGATTCACCCTGTTCCCGAAAAGTTTGCTTAATCCGAAATACTTGAATTAATTATTTAACTGAATTTACTAACTTAGTAGACAGTGGTAAGCAGGGTCGTCTCCTCAGGGACTGGCGAGAAATTTATTTCTTTTCAAGTCAAGATTAATGGGGGGTTTTGGGATTAAACGACAACTAAATGAATTAAATGCAGAAAATAATTAATTAAAAGAAATACTTAGAGAAACTCTAGCCAAGGGTATACTTCAGAAATGGTTCATGCACTGATCATTGATGCAAAAATAATCCCAACATTTATTAATAGAGTGGTTATAGTTGTCTCGCACGCGCTAAACAACCAACCCTTCCTTAATTTATCGATAGCTAAGGTACGACCGTTAACTATTTCCCTAACCCAAAAACAACCCTAGGTACGACCGTAGGATTTAATTTCTGGTTTGCATTAATAATTAGAAAGGCCCAATCCTAATTAACAAACACGCTACGAGGGTTTGTTTAAATTAGATCGTATGTTCCCCTGACATAAACCCAATTACGCCAGCTGCTACTGAGATAGGGATAACGAACAATTACGGATTCAATTACCCCTAATTAGCAAAATAACCTATATGAATAATTAATTATTGCGCACTAATCAATCATCCACACGAGTTATAACGGTTAAGAGCAGGAAACATATGAATATCAATAAATGAAGGAAGCAATTAAAATAAATTAGATCTTACAGTAATTGTTGAACCAAATCTTCAGTTGTCCCCTTGACTAGATTTGAGAAGCTAGTTCTCCATTAATGGAGAACAACCATGCAAAAGAACTAAGAAAAGAAAAACTAAAACTATGCTAAAAGCCTAAACTAAAACTCGTTTCTGCCGAGAGAGAGAGAGCGAGAGACCCCTGAAGCCAGCGAAGGGATTGTATTTATAGAGTCCTCGTGCGGCTGTCTCCAAAAGAGACCCAGTAGTCTTCCTGCTTTTGTGGGCCAGCACGTTTAGTCAAAGAAGGAACCCAATCAATTTAAATCCCAATTGAAGTCTTGCTGCCAAATGACTCTTCACGTGCAAATTGGCTAAGTCAGCATTGTTCCAGAATTGTCACCCGCGAAGGAATCTCCAAATATTTGGAAGTTTGCACGTGGCCAACAATCCCGCAAATCCGGCTTTGGACATCATACTTAGGCGTGCCCACGTCTAACTGACAGGAAAGCTTCAAAAGTTAATTTTCCAGCTCCTTTTGCCCCTAAATGCTGCAATTCGCATAGAACACAAAATCATAGTAAAATCCACCGATTAGTGCAGTATTTAGTCCAAATAAATAGGAAAAGCACGTGAGAAGACCGAATAAATTGCACTCTATCAATAGACAGAGTCACTCAGCTTCTTCTGTGGGGAAAAATTTCCAGTTGCTGCCTCCAGTTCTTCAAATTCATAAATTTTCAGCTCCTGATCAAAATCAGCAATTTTATCCAGAATATTTGCAGGTAAATTCTGCATCTTGTTCCCGTCTTTGTTCTTCAAAGAAGCTTCATTAATTTTGCCTCGCACGAAATGGGAAAAGATAAGAAACAAGACACAAGAGAGAATACCAAAAGAGCTTCCAGCCGCTATCCCAATATAAATCCCTATTTGGGACTCCTTGCGCCTTCTAGGAGGAGTGGATGGAGAAGGCGCATCCACTGAAGAATAAACCGTTGGTTGGGAACTAAACGGTTCACCTGACAGAGGTATCAGAATAGTTGTAAAAGGATAAAGAACTGGATCTTTTTCAGAAAATCCATTGGCATCAGCTAAACTTCTGGCAGTCACGTTAAACCTGTAACTAAGATCAGCAATGTTATCATTCCAAGTAACCAAGTAGGTCAGCAAAAATTTTATGCCATTTCTTGTCTGATTTTTTGAAGGGCATGCGCATCTAAGTGGCACCCGCAAAGTCATACCAGGTCCAATGTCCAATGCATCGTAGGGATTTTCCCGTTTAAGTGCATCACAAGTCGAAAGCCCCTGATAAGTGTTGTTTGCTATTGTATAGTAGGTATCGTAGTCACTCTGGATAAGATAAGAGGCGTTAGCCTGGTAGTACTGACCTGAACACGAACAATTGACGGGAACAATCACCTCTCTGCTCTGAGGCAAGACCCCAGATATCGAGATATTGTTGATACGAGCAAGTTCCACTGCAGAGGAAGATGTGAGGTTCGAGATGGCGGTGGCTGAATTATAAGTTGATTGAGATCTGAAAATCAGAAATGCTGGGCAAAAATGCTTTTCGCCATTGCAGGAATATAAGAATGCTGGAGATGGTCCTTTTTTATCGGTGTTGTTGCAGCTCAAAACAGAATTTCCAGAATACTGTTGTTGGCCATTCAACCTGGAAGCCAAATGCCCCACAATCAAGAAGAAACAGATTAAATACTCGTTCATGATGAACTTTTTGATATAACTCTGTACCTGTAGTGGGGCCCACGAACACGTCGGCCTGGCCCATAAGCTCGGCTGGTAGGAGGTTCCCGGCCCAGCAGGTAGGCTTGGATGGGCCGCGCAGGCTGCAGAGCCCAAGCACGCCCTAACTAAGCTATGGAGCCCTAGGGAGAGTTATGCTCCCATAAGGACTCCCTGTTCTACTAGGAGACTACTACCTGTGACTCTATAAATACCATGCGTGGGGGAAAACACAAGGTACGCTATTCATAGCACAATCTCTACTCTTTCACTTACAAATCTTCCTCTGACTTGATCGTCGGAGTTGCTACAGGGGACCCAGCCCCGCAGCTCGCCCGCGCGCAGGTCGGACGACTCCGCTCGCTCCCTAGGCACCCGGTCAGGTCGGACCTTCACTTCGGCAGTCGCATCAATTGGCGCCGTCTGTGGGAACACGTTACTTTTCTTCGCGAATCATGCCGAAAACAAGGTCTCAGAGGAACGCTGGTGCATCTAAGGGGAAGGAGCGAAGCGCCCCCCTAAATTCTCATCGGGATCCGACACCTGAAGGAGCAGGGGCGGGGCCTTCACGGATTCCGCCTGAACAGCTGGTGCAAACGGTGGCGGCAAACCTGCCCACCTTCGAAGCGATCGTGGACTACCTCAAAGGGCAGTCGGGAGGTCAGTTCGACAAGGAGCCTAAGGTCCAAGGAGCCGACCTGTCAGAGTCCCGAACTGGGAGCCCCAATCACGGGGCCAAGCGGGCACGTCGGGAACTCACGCGAGAGCAGGTCGAGGTCGTGGAGCCATCTCACAAGAACTCCCGAACTGAGCATCCGGAGCCCGTCCGGGGGCTCTCCCCCCGGAGGGAGCGACAACAGGTAAGGGACGAGCTAGACCTGATGCTCGACCCGGAGGCGGACAGGTACATTGCCTCCCCCTTTGCGCTTGACATCGAGGAATACCAACTGCCCGCGAAGTTCAAGATTCCAACCATGAAACCTTACGACGCTACCACGGATCCGGAAGACCACCTGTTCGTGTTCATGACGCAGATGCGCTTACAAACGGCTGCAGATGCGGTCAGGTGCAAGACCTTCCCGATGTTCCTAGAAGGAAGGGCTCGGCAGTGGTTCCAGGGACTTCCCCCCAGATCGATTAGTTCTTTCACTCAGCTCGCGCGACTGTTCTCAGCACAGTTCGTTTCTTCGCGAGCCTTCTCCAAAAGCACCGCTCACCTTATGACCATTCAACAAAGGGTCGAGGAATCACTGCGTGAATACATGGTGCGGTTCAATAACGAATCCCTCCAGGTCCGCGACCGAGATGACAAGGTGGTCATGGCTGCCTTCATTAACGGGCTACGGAAGCAGAAGTTATACACCGAGCTCGTGGAGCGGCCACCCAAGTCAGTTCGGGAGATGTTGGATCGAGCTCATGAGAAGGCCAATGCTGAGGAGGCTAATCGCCTGAAGGGCGCCCAGGAGAGGCAGAGGGATGACAAGCGAAGAAGGACAACCGACCAGGGGGACGTGCGACGTGACCAAGGGCGGAAAAATACCTATGACCACCCGTCTAGGAGCCGACCCTTAGGGGCAGACAAGCCTTGGACTTCCCTCACTGCCCCCCGAGCTCGGGTCCTCACGGTGATGGAGCAGGAAGGGCTATCCCGACCTCCCCGGCCCTTGGCCGGGGATAGAAGCAGGAGAGATCAGGACCTGTACTGTGCGTACCACAGGGATGTGGGCCACGACACTGAAGACTGTCGCCACCTTAAGAAGGAAATTGAAAAGCTGATCCGGAGGGGTCATCTTGGCCAGTTCGTCCGCGAAGGGCGAACTGATCAGAAGCAAGGAGGATTCAAGCGAGATCGGGCGCCCAGCTCGCACGACCGACCTCGGGGTCCTCGGGAGCGGACTCCGATACGCGGGGAGCAGGCTCTGGCGGGAGTGATCAACACTATTGCAGGGGGACCTGCTGGAGGGGATAGCCATTCGGCTCGGCGAAATAACAGGCCTCCCCCCAGTGGGGAGAGCTCAAACAAGCGTTTAAAGATGTACGAGGAGATCATCTACGGGCCGGAGGATGCGGTACCTCTAGCTTCCAATAACCACGAGGCAATTGTGATAGAGGTCGTCACATGTAACTATAAGGTCAAAAAGGTATACATTGACAATGGGAGCGCCATCGATGTGTTGTACTACAAGGCCTTCAGAGAACTACAGCTAGAAGATAAACAGCTCATTCCAGTTCGTGCCCCCTTGATAGGGTTTGCAGGTCCGCCGGTAAGGCCTGAGGGAATGATAACCCTCCAGGTCACCATAGGGGAGTCACCAAGGTGCCGAACTGTTCAGGTAAATTTCGCGGTGGTAAAGGAGCCGTCCTCCTATAACATGATATTGGGACGTCCAACCCTAAACGCACTCCGAGCTGTCTGTTCGACCTTACAACTCAGCATGAAATTTCCCACTCCCTCGGGAGTGGCCGAGGTGCAGGGGGACCCGGAGGTAGCTCGAGCCTGCTATATTGCAACCCTCAAGGGTAAGGAGAAGCTGGTGGCGCAGACAGCCCTTCTGGAGCCCTGGGAACCTACTGAGAAGGAGGAGAGGTTGGAGACGGACGAAAATCTGCTTGAATTGCTTGTCAACCCCGAGCGACCTGATCGTGTGGTTAAGGCGGGATCTGGACTAAACGAGCAGGTAAGGAGGGCCCTGGAGTCCCTCCTGGAGGAGTACGCCGAGATCTTTGCTTGGAGTGCCGATGACATGCCAGGAGTTCCTCCCGAACTGGCAGTCCACAAGCTGCATGTGGATCCGAGCATCCGGCCAGTGAAGCAGAAGAAGAGAAACTTTGCACCTGAACGCAACAAGGTCGTTAAAGAAGAGGTGGGCAAGCTGTTGGAGGCTAGAATTGTGAAGGAGATCCACTATCCGACCTGGCTGGCCAACCCGGTGCTGGTCAAAAAGGAGGACAAGGCTTGGCGGATGTGCGTGGACTTCACCGACCTGAATAAGGCTTGCCCAAAGGATTGCTACCCTCTCCCTCGCATCGACCTGCTGGTCGACTCAACAACTGGGTACGAGATCTTCTGCTTCCTGGATGCTTTCAAAGGGTATCACCAGATAGCTCTGGATGAGGAGGATCAAGAGAAGACTGCCTTCATCACCGAATACGGTACGTATTGTTATACCACCATGCCGTTTGGCTTGAAAAATGCAGGCGCGACCTATCAGCGGTTGGTCAACAAGCTGTTCAAGAACCAGATCGGCCGAACCATGGAGGTATACGTGGATGACATGCTGGTGAAAAGCCGAACTCAGGAGCAGTTCGTCGACGACCTCAGGGAGATCTTTGACGTCCTACGGAGCTCGCGGATGCGGCTAAATCCCAAGAAGTGCACCTTCGGGGTCGGGTCGGGCAAGTTCCTTGGATACATGATATCAAAAGACGGAGTAAGGGCTAACCCCGACAAGGTAAAAGCCATCATGGACATGGCTCCTCCCCGAAGCATAAAAGAGGTTCAAAGGCTGGCTGGCAGGATGGCGGCATTGAACAGGTTCTTGTCGAAATCTGCAGTTCGGGGTTTTCCTTTCTTCAGGGCCCTGCGAAGAGGCCCTCAGTTCGAGTGGACCCCCGAGTGTCAGCAAGCGTTTGACGAGCTGAAAGCCCACATCGCACGATTGCCGTCCTTGACCTCTCCTGCGCATGGAGAAACCTTATTTATCTATCTAGCAGTAGGGGAGGAGGCGATCAGTGCGGTACTAGTTCGGGACGAAGGAAAAGTCCAGAAGCCTGTATACTATGTCAGCCGAGCTCTACAGGGCGCGGAGACAAGGTACACCTCGATTGAGCGATATGTCTTGGCGTTAGTTCACGCGGCTCGGAAGCTCAGGTCATATTTCCAAGCTCACCCAGTGGTGGTTATGACCGACCAGCCACTCAAGCAAATTCTTTCAAGGCCTGACGCCTCAGGTAGAATGGTGAGGTGGGCCGTGGAGCTGTCCGGATACGACCTCAGCTACCAATCTCGCACGGCCATTAAGGCCCAAGCATTGGCAGATTTTATAGCCGAAGGGGTCTCCTTCGGACAATCGGAGCCGCAGGCCAAGCGGACCAGAGACACAGCCGAGGCCCAGCAGGTCGGAGAAGCTGTCGAGGCCGCGCAGACGACCCGATCCCGGACGACCCAAGGCACGGCAGAGGCCAGGCAGGCCGAAAAAGCTGCCCAGGTCGAGCGAGCCGCCAAGGCTTTCAAGGCCGAGCAGGCGGAGGGGCATGTCAAGGTCGGGCAGGCCACAAAGGGAGCTCAGGCCGGACAGATCGGAGACGCAGCGGAGGCTGAACACGCCGAAGAGGCTGTCGAGATCGAACAGGCCACTGGCGAAGTTGATCAGATCATTCCAGTCTGGACCCTGTTCGTAGATGGATCGTCAAGCAAGGAAGGATGCGGAGCCGGGCTCCTCCTGACTAGCCCTCTGGGGGATGAGTTGGCCTACGCCCTGAGGTTTGATTTCAGGGCCTCTAACAACGAGTCCGAATATGAGGCCCTGGTCGCAGGGATGGTGATAGCTCGGAAGTTGGGGGCCGAGTCAATAGAAGTCTACAGCGACTCACAGCTGATAGTCAACCAGGTAGGGGGAAGCTACGAAGTTAAGGAGGAGCCCCTAAGAAGGTACGTCGCCAAAGTGCATGAGCTAAGGGCCCAGTTCAAAGTATTCGCGCTCAAGCAGGTCCCTCGGAGCCAAAATAAGAGGGCGGATGCTCTGTCCAAGCTAGCTTCCACCTCGGTCGGCACGCTGAACAAAGAAGTCTTGGTGGAAGTCGTCAGAAATCGGGCGTATGACCAGGTGGACTTGTCTGTTATTCAAGTAGTGAGCTCATGGATGGATCCCATTATACGGTATTTAGCTAATGGAGAGCTCCCTCAAGACCGGGTGGAGGCGCGAAGGGTCCTCCTCAGGTCGCGGGGATACGAGCTCTCAAATGGGGTGCTTTACAAGAAA